GACTGTTAGTGATCATTTCACTCTATGTATCACCTTTGAATTGTAATCTTACATTTACAGGCTTTTTCCTAACAGATACAGCAGAATTCTTTTCTACTATCTTATCAACATGTTTAGTGGTGAACTATTCAGGATAGCTGTTGTATAAAACCTGAAGTTTGTCTTCAGTCGCATCTTCTGAACAAGTATCTTTGATCTTATAGCTGAGGGGTTTTACCAAATTCATTTTATGCTAATATTGACCCTTCTAACCACATATCAAATGCAGAACATTCGGTATTCTTATCAGTAAGATGTCTAGAAAGGAAATTTTACTTTGAGATTATTCTCCACAACAGAATTTGATAAATGAGTGTATTTCAGTAAAATGAGACATTATTGTGTTCTTGTCCAAATTATTCTCACAAAGGATGAATTTATCCTGCATATTCTGTCAATAAAGTGAGAGTTTCTCGATAAGATTGTTTAAAGAGCCATTTTCTACTTTACTCAGAAAGAAATCTGTTGAAGTCCAACCCCTACGGGAAGCCCATCGCCACATTGTCCACTTGTCTATAGATTTCACTGTCAAATTAGAAAGTGATATTCACGATACACTTTAGCTGAAATTCAAAGGATTTCTACTTGGATCACTATATTTACTGACTTTATATTTATTTGTTTAAACAGGTGCAATTAACCGTTTTAACTAGACGTACATTTGTCGGTAGAGGGGTTATTTTCAAAGATACCATCGCTTTATGTTTGACGGTAATATCCTGAATTCTCTCTGTGAATTCAAACAGATCTTCCACATTGTATATATTACTAGCTGTTCACAAAAATGGTTTAAGATAGTTACCGACGATTTAGCTGAAACATGTTGTGATGAATTGTTCTTGTCTCGAATCAACCACAATGGCATTCTAGATTTATGTACTTTGGGTAAACCGTATAGTCTTGGTGTGTATGTGCCCACGAGTCTGATTTCGTCAATACAAACTTTCAGGAAGTGTGTGTGTTCCTCCTAAAATCTCTTTATAAGCCTGGTTATCTTACTGCCTATTTTATTATTTAAATTTTTGCTCTCCTGCAATTTTTAAAACTTTTGTTTCCCTCTCAATATATCATTCATCTTTTTAATATAATTATTTCTGTCAACGAGGAATACTCTTGTTGGTATTAATAATGATACTTAATCAAATATAAAACTTCATCCCATTTTTTCATCTCTCTTTGCATCTAGTTGAAAGTACAAAAAACACTTGAGCTTTTAATTTAAATCTAATGCATTCATTACTAGGTGGCATTTTTATCCAATAAGGAATATATTATGTATATATAGTTCAACGATGTAGACAAACTACTCCTACGGGAACTTAATAAATGCATAAATAAATGATTCCGTAATTAAAAAAGAAGAATATACGGCAGTTAGTATGAAGAGTACACCAATTCTAAATTTATTGAAAGTACTTTCCAACTCTTGTGTGGTCTACAGCAAAATGGATTAATTTTAGGATATATTCTCAGTTATTGAATAGCACGGCTATGATTAGTTGCAAATTAGATGAGGAAGTGATACAACGGTTAGAGGACGTTTGAAATCCCAAGAGTACTGGACACTTGAATCCTCTTAATTTGCGATACTTCAGCAGGATACATAGATGCCTATATTGGAAATTGATCCTGAGCCCTTCCGGCTGCTTGGCAAGACCGTTAACCGTACAGCCATTAAGACGGAATTTAATGGATCATGGATTCAAACTCGTTAGCATTCACGATTCATAGTACCATCGCTAGCCTATGTTATTGTTGAGTAGTGCTAATCACCTTCGACTTAAAGAACCTCTCTTGTGGTGTCATGAGTGCCTACTGTTGAAGGGTCATGAACCTTAGAACCTAGTGATTGAAAGTGAAAATCTAACAAGGAAAATGAGTTTTCTGAATGTTTCAGCTAGCCGTTTGTTATGATGAATAGATACCAAATAACAGAAAAGAGTTTCTAGTTACCGATTTCAAACAATTAATATATGCAGAAACACACATACAGATTACAAACAAAACTGAGTCATACTATCCACTAGTGACTGATTGACTGATACGAGTGTTTGGAAACTACTCATACCAAACAGTAGTAATGTAAACAAAACAAATGATGTGACTCAACATGTAGACAAACACTTAAGTCCGAGAATCAAAGTAAAACAAATAATCCGTAGTCGATAGTCAATAAAATAAGATTAAAAGTTAGAAGATTAGAACAGTCATTAATCAAGTCTGAGTGCATTTAAAAGGATATACTACAGGAAGCTGTGCTTCACACAGATTTGGTTATTATTCAACCAATTCACTCTTTTCTATAGAAATAATATTTTCGTTGCTTTGTTAAACTATATATATATATATATTATATATATATATTGACAAAGAGTGATTTTAAGTTGTTCCATGAAGCCATTTACTTCAGAAGTAATCATTTCACCCAGATTGTAACACAGACATGTAATCGTGCTACCCACCTCAGCATCTTCTCAGGGCATTGAAGGTTTCCGTGATTTTTAGGCGATATTGTATAGCTTGTTAAAAAGATATTGACCATGCTGAACCCTACATTTGCAAATCCCAACAGAAATATCCCTAGATTTTTTCATGTTACGATTTTGTTTCCACAAAAGTCTCCTTCATCTATATATTCTTTTTGTTGATACTCATCACTGTCCGTGAGGTTATGTTCCTTTCGCAACTCAAATCTGAGTCAGCAACCACTGATTTTTCACTGTTTTTAGGAATAAATGATTTATATAAGTTGTGATGGTCACTTGGTAACTAATGCAGTTGGGTGGTTATCAGTGTTGATTTGAAACTACCATTTAGTAATAGGGACTTGCCACCTACATTTTATGCATACTAATGCTAGAAAATGAAAATATTTCCATTCAGAATTAATTGGAAACTCACAGACATAACTAAAACACTCTGTGTGAGATGAGAGGATATTTCCGCCTCGCCACTGTTACGTTACACCTTAGTTTGTCTAGTTAGTTCTTCTCGTTATTTTTCTTTCAGTCACCAGTCTCATATATATATATATATATATATATGTAGAACATTTCTTCACAATATTTTAATGTTTAATGAATTGTACTTAAAGAAATTTAAATGACAAACAAGAGATTTTATACAATTTATCACTGTTCATATAAAAGAGGAAGAGAACTGAAGCCGATCCGAAATTCTCGGTGTAGCGAAAAGCGTGGGATAAGTTTTGAAAAGAAAATCGTATTGTTTTGTTCTTTTGACTTTTTATCTTCATATGGGATGTTTTCTTGCATGTACAACTAAGAAAAAAGTTAGATGCACTGAACAAGGAAGAGGAATGAAGAAGGAATATAAAATGAACGAAAAGACAGGATGAGAAAAAAGAACCTTTTTCGATTGAGGCTTTGATGTTTGAAACGATGATTACTGAGTACTAGTCTCAGTCAGAATATCAATCATCACTGCAGATGAAAGTGAATTCAGTTGACTAATTCCAAATGGGATGAAACGCACGTCTTGGACTCCTCTACTGTCCACCATCAACGAAGTCAAAACTTGGCGTTTCTAGCACTCAGTACCCTTTATTTCACACTCGTCTAAGCCTGAATTTGTACTACTGTGTTTTATCAGTATTCAGCGTGATGTCAACTTCTGATCACAGTCATTTTATTTAGAAGTTAGTATGAGAGATTTTTGCCTATTTGTACTGCTCAGTATTTGTGGAACGGGATCAATTTATCCAGATTTTCAAGAATTGGTTTGTTAGGATTTGATTGGTTGCTTACAGGATTCATCATGAGCTGACATCGGGTAGAGGACCATTGGAAACCCTGAGAGTACTGGACATCCATTTCGCCCTAGTTTGGGACTCTTCATCAGTAGGCACCCACCACAGGGGTTCGAATCCAGGACCTTCTTGTTTGCAAGATGAGCTTACATACCAATGTATATCCATTGTATATCCAATGGTCCACGAATTTCTGCCTATTCACCAACTACAAATTTATTAGTAATTGAACAAAAACTATTGGGAGAACAGAAGTAACAAAAAGAGTTTCATTCAAAGCCATAGGTCATCATCAGGGTACAATCACCTACATGCGATAAATAGGATTCACCAAAGTCAGATTACTAGTCGATTATTTTAATACTCATTTACAAGAATGAAAACCAGTATATTATGATCCTGAAGTTCTACACAATCACAATATGACAGTAGCGTTACTTATTTGTTTCACAACACTTTTATTAGATTCTGTCGTTGATGGGCTTTTATTACAACTTGGGAATTCAATTCGACGTTCTTGACTGATGTTATAGAAGCGTCCTTGAACTTTTCCGAATCTTGAGAATACTCATCAGAACATTAGAGGTCGTGACCACTGGGGTCCATCCGTTCCGGCTGAGGACAAATACTCGCCGTGGATGACACTGGTCGGTGACTACACTAAAACTACGAATGGGAGTAGGTTGGAACTTATTGATTAGCCACTGAGCTGCGTCCCAGTGGATGAATGGTCTACGAATTTGACTTAAAACTGGGAGGTCCCAGATTCAAACCCCTTTGATGGGAAAATACTGAAGATGGGTCACAGACTAGGAGAAAACAGATTTCTAGTGGTTCACTTGTGGTTTTTAGTGGTTCTTTAACCGGACAAATCAAATCCCTACAAATAAACCAATAAAAGTGTCGTTTATATTCACTACAAATACTTTATGTTTATTAGACGATTAGTGTGCATTCATTTGAAACCGTTTGAAGTTACCATCAGGACTGGCGAAGTTTTAGCGCCTACGTGACAACACAATTACTCATATAATAGGCAAACATTGGAACTAGTATGCATGTACGATGTCACCAATCCTATAAGTATAAGTCATAATTTTTGAAATATAATTCCTAAGAATCATTTAAAATCTTGAATACAGTTCCACTAATATATATATTAATTTGTTTTCTTCTATCTAATCATCCTCAGCCTCCAACCCATGTCTACACCATAAATGTCGATGGCAAGGTGAAACATGTCAAGTTGATATAAATGGTGAAGCGAAGTGTACATGTCCTGAACCCTGTCCACAGGTTGTCTCTCCAGTCTGTGGTAGTGATGGAATAACATATGATAGTACATGTCATTTGGAAAGAACAGCATGTCAAAAAATGCGAGAAATACATGTACTATATTCAGGAGAATGTAGTAAGTCACACTTTTTGGTTGGTTTGTTTTGTCTACTAACTTTATTTCTGAAAAAATCCGAGAAGTGTATTGATTTGTAAATTTAATTGTTTTACGATATAGTCACTGGCATTCATTGTGGAAAATGAGATAGGTGTAAAGTTTTCATTTATTTCCCTGAGTCATATGTGATTTGGAGACTTTGTCACTCACTTATATGCATTTGTTCAGAATGCTGTTGACGGGCAAAATAATATTTAAGTGTTAGTTTGCAGGGATCCGATTAATTTCAAGTCGGATCACTATCTGACATCAGTTGGAGGACCATTGAAAACCAGGGAGAATTGGATGGCTGTTTAACCTAGTTTGGAATCTTCGAAAGATAAAATGCACAACCTTCACGTTACAAGGCATGCCTGATGATCATTCAGTTACAGGAAAGAATCCAATAACCTGTGAGTACTAAATCGTGCTGACTGTCGACACGGCTATCACTGTTAGACAATTTCATCGTTGAGTGTTCTTCCTCCTAACCACCTGCGTGCACCCTCCTGGTCATGATCTCTCACCAGAACCCCATGAAATCCATTCTTCTGGGATTGATGGTGTGAAATGATGGATAAGCCAGAACGACGATCAAAACCCGTCAAGTATTTCCTCATTTCAAATGGTTCTCTATCTGTCATCTCGTGAGATAACTTGAGATAAAATAATATCTCGTGGTGTATGTTTTGAAGTAAATTAAACTAAAATAAAAGTAAACATAAGCATTCCCTCATAAGCTACAACTTAGAAACCCCACTAACTATACTTTACGACTTAACTACTTGTAGACTTTCTTTTGAATTCAGTCATGAAGATCTGAACATATCTATCTGTCAGTTTGTGATTTGTAACCAGCCGCTGATTATCACAGAATTCTTTTTGAATTTTTGGATAATTATTACTTAGAACACTGTTTGGACAGCCTGTGTCCCATGCATACTTTCGCCTCCATCGGATAGAAGACACATCGGCTGACTGCTGGCTCCCTGAAGGCATTCATCAGCCCGCACCATTCTGTCTCTCCGATTCCAGTGAACAATGGATTTTTTGAAATATATTTCTGTGCTTTTAGGTTTCTGTAGCAGTTAAGTTGACTTCTTGTGAGAGGGCCGCTAACTCCCAAAGCCCAATCTTCCCTCTACTTAAGGCTTAGTATCTACCTAATAGTGAACTAGGAGAGGTTGAAGCAGTATATACTACTGAGAACCTGAGAGAGTAATTATAATATTAAAGTCATCCCAGTAATAAATTGCCAGTCATCACTTTTTTATAATTTAATTCATCTTAGCTAAGGTTTCGAACTCTCGATAGAACAAAACTCCACAGATAACATCAAGTATTGCTTTGTATTGGTCGCGACTCCACAAAGAATCCAAACATATACCACTTGTAGGTGACAAGTTGATTCGACTATTCGGCTTATGTTTTGGGATCCAATGGCAGACGACCGCAATTAGTGCGAATTTGTTTCACACTCGGCCTTGTGGACTCCACTAATTTTCACTTCACATAAGAAATTAAGACCAGTAGCGTATCGATATAAACTAAATAGGGTTTTTACTATTAGTTTTTACTATTATTATTATTATGTACACAAACTCGGAGAAGCGTAGCTGAAAACCAACAAACTGTCTGTAGAAAAAGCGAAGATATAACTTCATGTGAACATATAGAAGACAAAACTAATGACAATAACCAGTCAGCAGTAATAGCAAGCACCAATCACTATCAATGGGAGAAATTTGAAAGAGGTTAGTTACTTCCTTCACTCATACAGGAAACATCATTTCAGTTACAAGCAGAACAGATGAGGAAGTCAAAACCAGCATCAGAAAGGCAAGGTATACCCTTAATCACTCTGAAATCACTTTGCAACTCTCCTACACCGCAACTCTGCATAGACGAAAAATTCAGATTTCCAACACCAGTGTTAAATCACTCTTTCTATACGGATCAAAAACTTGACTCGTCACCAAAGCATTTCCAACACGCTACATCAAACGTTTATCAACAGATGCCTTCGCTGGATCCACAATGAAGACCAGATGGCCAGTCAGAAGGAATTAGCTACAAGAAAATCCCGGTACAAAACAATCAACAGTCTGTTGCTCAACAAATATATCGAATAAAATGCAGATGGACTGGGCACACACTGAGGAGACCGTCGAAGGACATCACATGCAGGTTCATTTCTCAAATGGAACGCGGATGGTAAACGATGAGTGAGGAGTCTGAGGTTGACATGGAGGAGATCGTGTGAGGAGGAGATTAGAGACTATGGGTAATAGTGGGGTAAGATGAAGATAACCGCAGAAGACAGGACGAAATGGAGATATGGTGTTGAAGCCGTATGTTTTACTCCGAACCCAAGGAAATAATACTATTCTAATGATAAGTAGTGCCACGGAGACTGAACGAAATGAGAATAAGATGTGTGGAAAAAAATACAACACGCTGTCTTTAAGCAATGTGAAGAATCGTATGGAGTTATTATTGTGCAGGCAAGAGGACTTTTCTGTAGTTGTCTTATTTATCTACACATTACACATTGATCACAGCCATACTATATCTAGTATCAAATGCACCACTGAGTTATGCTATTGTATGATGTTCCAGATTTGTTCTTAAATGACATGCTTTTGGTAAAACTGTCGGAAACCTACTAAGTTTAACAAACCGATAATGAACTAGAGATAATAAAAGATGTATTGGAAATATACAATATGACATGAGGGAAACCAGTAGACTTCCCTCTAAACCTTTTACCAATTGCAAAGACCTATCCACTGGTCATAGCTTGACTTTAAACCGACCAGTGAAAATTTTGAGTAAGAGAATGAGTGTTGAGTGCATAATGACTCTTCAGATTATAATACTAGGAAATTAGGGATACCCAAGTGTAAGTTTATTTCAGTTAAACTGAAAATTTACTATTTTAAACACTCATCGCTAATTACTAATACTTAATAGATTAAATATGCAATAGCGATATAAATAAAAACTGAGAGCAGTTAAAAGTTAACCATGATTTCCGTTAGAAGGGAAAGTATACTGACTGCACAGTTGAATATTTCTCATTATTGTTAAAGGATATTATTGGGTGTTATAAGCTAAGTTTTTAAGGGATGATTTTCATGTAACCTCCCATGCTTCTATCTGAGACTATGTATTCTGTCAAAATGTTTCCTCCTTAATGTCAGCATCTTTTCAAACACGTCACCAAAAATACCATCTAAAAGGGTGATGTAAAATATTCAACCGGGAGTAATTCGTCTAGTGTTTTTGAGCTATTCTAAGTTATCCAAAAAGTCTGTTATTCCTCAGTTTTGGAGAGAGACTAGTTTCTTTGGTGATTATTCCGTGGACTTAAATTCCTGCATACTAGGACAATCGGCCTGCAATGTATGTTTTAAAATGAAATCTAATAATAGTTGCAAAGATGTGTAGATTCACTGTTAAGCTTCACAATTATAAAGTTCTCCATGCTTTCTCTCTTGCTCCCACTTTGTGAAGAATTTATTAATTTAGACCTAAATTATGGATAAACATGACTGAATTATTTATTAATAATAATATATACACTAATTCATTAGTTATAATCAGATATAAAGGAAAAAAAGTTTTATAGGAGAATGAAGAGTTTTCCTATTATGGATTTCGTACCTATGGTTTCAGCTTGTTTGTTTAGCCTTCTTTGCCCTTAGAAGATGGTTTCATTAGTTTTATTTGCATCTGAAACTGTATAAGTTGTAGATTAAAATATTTTTTTATCGATTGGCAATACAATAAATACACTGCTTCTAAGCAATGTTATGGACAAACTCACGAATATAGCCACTCCGGTTAGTATATAACAATTCACTTGCTTCTGAGGAGCTAGGAACACAAGTGAACACCTCGTCAGTACACCTAACACACCTGACAAGTCGTGTATTGCTTTTTATAAACTGAAAAAAAATCAACCTAAGGTAGTGCATTTCCGACTTCTTTGCATTGTAGTATCCCTACCTACAGATATGTGTTCAAAAGAAGTTATATCAACCTCCACACTCACCGAGGATCTAGTTCTGTTTGACTCTATTTTCATTTCACTTATGTAAAATACTGTCTTAATTTGTATTTAATTGGTGGATGGTGACTAGCAGTGGAATCCAGGATGCGCATTTCGTCCTATTTGGTGCTCGTCTTCTGGATATACTTGCATTTCTCAGTGATTGATAATGTTCCCACCGAGGCTCAAACTTAGGGCCCATAGTTTCAAACGCCAAAGCGTTATTCACTAGACTAACTAAATGCCCAGAGATCGTCGAAGCATCTGCACAAGAAGCCGACATGTCAACCTGAGACCGAGCACTTTGCTGCAATCAGTTGATGCGAAAATATCAAATTCAATTAAACTGTCTTAATTTGTTTCTATGCTGATTTGGTTTTCACATATATTCGTCAAAAACAAAAACTATGTTACATATAATGCAACTGTTTTCTTATCTTGTATAGTTTTGTTTTTATGTTCTTTGTAATCTATATTCACACCTTCAGATGTTCACATCAAATTGAAAATTATTATTATTATGTAAACTTATGCATATGAATGCAATTTTTCAACTTTTGAGAATGCAATAGTGGAAAAGATATCTTTGTTAAACTTCCTGTTCTTTTCTCTCTAATAATATACTTTAACCTCAATAGTTCTGATCCCAAAACTCGATAGTATTTTCTTTCAAGAATATTTTTAAATTTTACATTCCTCCCAGTGTTCTACAGAATTTGGCATAAAAAGATTTTTTCTTTTATAAAAGTTCACGCATTAATCAATTTAATTCTTTAACCACTTTTTCTTCTCTTTCTCAAGGTCAAGTAAAAGACTGCATGCTACTCAATCAACCGTGTCAAGGATATGAAATATGCTCACGGATTAAAAATCCAATGGTTTATGGTACAACAAACCAAAGATTAGATGCAAGTGAATATGGTTTAACCAAATCATTTGAAGATACAATACCACAGTGTATTTGTCCTTCATGTCCAGAAAATGGTCTTGGTGGACAGGTTTGTGGATCAGATGGGCAAACATATCGTAGTGAATGTCATTTAAGATCAAGTGCATGCCAACGGCATTCAACAGATCTGACGGTCAAATCAAGAGGAAAATGCGGTAAGTTGACCTGGTGTGATCATACCTCTACAATATAGCCATGGAACGAATGTTTTACTATCCTACTTATTCATCATAGGTTCATATCACGATGAGTATAGAAGACCAACCGAAATGAATCCACGTAGTTAAGAAGTAAACATTTCTTCACTTTGTCGTGAAAGCCATCTCCCCACACTGCTCATTTTATGTTCTTTAGACTGAACATTTAGATGTAACTGACAATAACATCATTGTGAACACACAGTAAACTAGAAATCGTTTATAAAGCCATCAGTTAAGGAGCAAAAGTGGGTTGCAAAGAGACTTTCAACTGAGTAGCCTGAATTTCCATCGACTAAGCTACATGATTCAACCGATAACCAAGTCATAATTTTATCATAATGATGAAAGAATATCTTCCTCTGTTCATTCAGGATGCTTTCGTCAACTTACCAGTTAGACCTCACTTGTAAAAATATGCAAAGCAGAAGACTATAATAGTTATCTTCTGGTACATGGACACTTGGAGAATAATAGAAGAGAGAAGGATGTTGAAACAAATGATTATCCAGTGCACCGACGAGCAACAAAAACAGGATTTGAATGCAAGCTACAAAACACTGAACGAAAGAGTAAAGAAAAGTGCCACGGAAGACAAAAGAAAATATTATAAAGCCATGGCAAATGAAGTAGAACAAGCTGCAGGTAAAAGAGGCCTCATCACACTCTACCAAACAACTAGGCACCTAACGGGCAAAGGTTCGACACAGATTAACCCAGTGAAGGATGGCGATGGAAAGTCAATCACCAAAGAGGAAGTGCAAAAGAAACACTGGGCTGAACACTTCAAAAGACTTCTAAATCGACCGCCACCTACAGCGCCCCCAACAATGCCAACAACAGAAGCAGAACTACCAGTAGACACCAACCTCCCGACGAGAACAGAAATCCTGAAGGCGATCAAGATGCTAAGGACTGGAAAAGCAGCAGGACCAGATGGAATCCGAGCAGATGCATTGAAAATGGACCCAGAGACATCAGCGGACTTGATGACGCCAATACTGGAGGAGGTTCGGAAAGAGGGCAAGGTACCTGTGGATCGGAGTAAAGGCTACTTATTCAGACTGCCAAAGAAAAAAGACTTAGCTCAAAGCTAAATCTGGCGCGGCATTATGCTCCTGTCTATCCCAAGCAAAATACTAAGCCTTACCATCCTGAAGAGAATCAAACACGCCTCGGATGAAAAACTTCAACCAAAATTGACAGGATTCAGGAGGAACAAGTCATGCATTGATCAAATCTCAGCACTACGGATCATCTTTGGACAGAGCTTGTAGTGGCAGTCACCTCTCTATCTCAACTTCATCGACTTTGAAAAGGCCTTCGACAGCGTCGATCGAGAGGTGATGTGGCCACTACTTCGTTACTGTGGGATGCCGCCAACAATTATACATTCGTTCAACACTTGTCCAACAATACTGCTTTCCAAGAAATCCACAACGTAAAACTCACGAAATCCTTCGAAGTGAAGACGGGAGTAAGACAAGCTAGCTGGCTGCCTACTATCTTCAATGATTTCCCTGATAGACTGAATAATGCGACATACAGCGGGCCGGTCAACGAGGAGATAGGCATAAAATGGACCCACACAAAACACTTGGAGGATCTGGACTTCGCCGACGATACTCGTCTGATTTCCCACAAGGTGGAAGATGTGCAAGCGAAAAGCAACAAGTTGGCAGAAGAAGCATCCAGAGGAGTTGAGACTTCAGGGGAACATGGAAAAGACAGATGTGATGAAGATTCCTGGCCAACACCAACAGCCACTATAACAACAACAGACAACAATCGGCATAAATGGGAGAAATCCGAAAGAAACAACCTTCTTCACTTACCTGGGAAGCATCTTTTCAACTACAGGCTGAACTGACGAGGACGTCAAAGCCAGAATGGGAAAACCAAGACAAGCTTTCATTACCCTCAAGTCTGTGTGGAGGTCAACAGCACTCAGCATCAAAAATAACATCCGGATTTTCAACTCCAATGTGAAGTCAGTACTACTATACGAATCAGAGACTTGCACTGCACGTCATAAAGAGCATCTCAAACAAAGTTCAGGCCTTCATCAACAATCGTTTTCGCTCAATAATCAAGATCAGATGGCCGGTCAGAAAATATCAGGAACAAGGATTTCTGGCAATGAGCGAACCAACCAGGAACCGATTGTGCAACAAATAAGCAGGAAGAAATGGAGATGGATTAGCCATATGCTGAGGAAACCATCAAGTGATATCACTAGACAAGCCATCGCTCGAGTGGAACCAGGAAGGGAAGCGGCGAGTTGGTCGTCAGTGGAAGGGTGAGTGGGAGGAGGTCATGTGAAGAGGAGATGAAAGCGTGTGGGCAGACTTGGAGCGAGGTGAAAACGTTGACAGAAAACCGAACGCAATGGAGACGCATAGCTGAAGCCCTATGTTCCTCTTGGAATTAAAGGAAATAATAATAATCTAGTACTGAATTTGTCTGGACCTGTTTAACTTCAAGGCGTATTACAACAAACGCCAATAACCATTCGAGAAACAATGAAAGCTTGAGGGACCTGGACGACTTTAGATTAATGATACACTTGTTAGTAACTGACTAAGATATGGAAGTCGCAGACTTCTATTATAAAGTCATGACAATGGAGTCGACTAAATGGGTTGTGAGGGTATGTACGCGCTAACGCTGGCAGTATCTTGTGAATTAGCAGAAGTTGGAATTTATGAGAGATCATATTTTGAGTTTCACTCCCGGGGGAAGTTTTGTAATATCGTGTATTTCCCATAGCTTAAGAATTGTGTACTATTCATAAAAAGTAGAATGTAATAAATCAAATGAACATGTTTTCATGGAAAAAGTATGTCGTTTCAGTTTAAAAAAAATTATTTCCATCAAGTATTCATTTTATTGATTTCTATTGTTTAAAATTCAGGCAGTATTTACACACATGAACAGTATAAGATCTTACACGACTGTCTATTGGCCCTCATTACTAAAACACCATCCTGGTTTTAGATAACAAAAGAAAAGTGTAAGGGCTAATATCAGAAGACTTAATATTCGATACAGCGAAGTATAAAATTTGCATGATATATGATATGATAAGATACGTAAAATTAAAGTGGAAATACTGCTAGATGGCTGCAATTTCTTCACCTTTATAGTGTGTTAGATCTCAACCCGCTGATTGCAATATTCTCAAAACTGCTAAGGGGACACAATCAACTGGTATAATATGTTGATCTAGTTACTTTATGATGTCTTTAATACCGAACTATTCCAAATGACTAAGTTGTCTGGAGGTAAACTATGGATTTACTTCTCTATCGAATCCATTTGATGACAAAATCTTTAATTTCTTTAAGGTGAAATCATGACCGACTCAATTTCGTCACCTTTTAGGTTGGTCAGTGGGGTGATCAGCCAGTAATTTTGATATGACCGCCTATTATCTTGACGTAAAGCATGTTGGGTGTCAATTTTGTAGAGAATGATAGATTTTGGAGAATAATTCAAACTTTTTAGCCCTATTTCTATTTGCAGAGTAGTATAGCCTTCAGGATAACTGCATTTTTAGTCATGGGAGTCTGTTAGTTGCAACGAATAAATACACAGGCTTTATGTTAGAGAATGAAGGTTAAGTAACGGTACTTATCGAACAGGTTAGTGTTGTTCGGTAACATAATCTTCACAACAACTAAACTTCGAATTTTGTTTGAAAACAGTAATTCTTGAAAACTACAAAATAGAAAATGTGATCATCTTTGATTGAAAACTATTTACCGACTAATGTCCAGTCAACGTATCCAGTACAGTCCTACAGGAGGTCAGTGGCGAGCCGCAATATCTAAGTGGTAACGTTTCCAACTTCATCACAAGAGATATGAGTCTCTTCAGTATTTCGGATACGCCTTGCTAACTGATGAATGCAAATAAGCACGAAATATAGATGCAAAGCCTCGTACCGACTGCCTCCATCATCTAATAACGACAAAATGATCATCTCTAAAATATGTGTCAACTATTGTTGAATTAAACCCTATTTGCAAGTTACCTTCTCTTTGCCTCATAGGAAAATCGTCGCAATAACACAAATAATTTCATATAAGTATTCAAACGGTTGCTGCTAAAAATGTCAGCACATGAATATACAAAAGGTGATCGGCAACCGATATATTGTCATCAGAATGTGCAGTACAATCAACGTTCTTGTCATGTTAAACGTCTGACTTCGTTCACTCTCAATAATTTCTCTTTAGGCTCTTACAATTATAAAATACAATATTTGTTGTCGTTACAATAAAGGCCAGTTATGCGGCGGATACATTTTTTAATGTAGAATAACAGATTAGTTATGGGGTGACAAAATAAATAGTCGTATTTGTGTGACAAACTTGCTAAGCTGAAATCGATTATAAAATATTGTAAAAGGGGAGACAGTGAGGATGATGATTAGTCATAATAAGTTTGTAGAGTGTGGGGTAGGAAAATTGACAAGTCAGTTCAAGGTTATGAAAGGTGTCAGGTGAGTGGCTAGTACAATGTGGTCTGTATTAAAGACGAGATAGTAAGAATTGCAATGAGAGGTTCATAATGAGATAACGAATATGTGAATTGAAACAGGTGGACCCATGTATTGAGAAAAGAGATCATGTAATGGAAAATTCGTTAGTATTGAGAGAATGTCTACATGAAGGGTATAAATTATGATGAATAACAATAATATTTGCAAAGGAAAAAACCAATAAGGTTAAGGGGAAGAAGCACTCTTGGTGAGAAAAAGAATCATCAACCCAAGTTTGGTCACATTAGGAACAGCGTCTGGACGTGTTCTTTTTGGATACAAAGTTGCAGTTTAGTCGATCTTATTGCAACATCTTTAGCTATGTGTAGGAAACGTAAGCGAATTGTACGCGATAACGACTTCGAGATTTATTGTATAACGCTGAAAGCTGTGTTGATTTTGTTGATATGTTCGGTGTCGACCAAGTTTGATAGGATCAAGTTTTATATGCACTTAATTCCCCCCTTCTGAACCAAGCTACTGAATGTTCTCGAACCTGTAAGTGAACCTGAAGACAAATTATTGAAAATAATATGCTTCGTTCATATTGGCTTTTAAATACTATTCACTTAGCCTTTTGCCTTCTTCTAAGTTCTCACTTAGGCATAGAAAAAGGCAGGTTTAAATATTCAAGAGACACAGCATTAATGAATGCAAAAACGTGACCAAACAAAGAAATGAAATTACACCTCATTACTGATTAGTGAGTGAAACCAATAATGTGCACCTACCATACTACACACTGCCAACCAAAAAAGAAAACATTTGTTCCATGACTATTTATTTTCGCGTTGATTGAATGTACCGGGATTTTCCGCATATTGTTAACATGTTGGCTCCTTGTGAGGACGCTTCGACAATGCTTGGGGATTAACTTCAAGTAATTTGATGGATGAGGATTGCAGTGGATCCTAGGAAACGCATTTCGTCCTATTTGCAACTTGTCCTCGGAATGTACGTGCATTCTCCACTTAGCGAGTTGTGAGGCTTGGACGCAGTGCATATTGCTCTAAATGCCAAAGCGTTATCCAGGTGATGTGTCCAAAATCAGATGATATGCGCATCCTGGATTCCACTGCCAGTCACTATCCACCAAATTAACTAATAACGTTAAAAGAAAGGAAATAATAATCTAATTTTTTTTATTGTAATCAATAATTTAATTAAACTAATTGGAATAAATGAATGAAAATTTAACTCCAGAGATAAAGCCAGATAACAATGATAGAAATAACGTTAATCTATAGAAATAATTCAATGAAAACTCTCAATGCTTATCACATTTAGGTGGATGAGATTATTATTAGTGTTATTTTGACTATTTATGCAGTTACACTAGCACTAGTAACACACTCGCGATATATATCACACTGTTGTCGTAAATTGTGTCACAGTAGATGTTCTGCACAAATTAGATCACCGACTCTTATCAATATGAAAGAACAGTATTTCACTGCATACTGCCTGATGATAATAGTACCATAGTAACTACTACTTATTATGTACCTGGCTTTGTGTATCAGGCTACATTTGATGCATATAAAGTGTACATATTTATGTCTACCAGTTTCGCATCGTTTTGAAAGTCAGATCGTTATACGCTAGGCCAGTGGGCCACGTAATTCTCTTCCTGTGCAACAGAATTCCACTGTCAATTGATGAAATTATTGTCTTTTTATTTTTTCTTAACTGATTCTGTTGAGTCGGAATGCTCAGTTTCTGCTGACTCCTGGAGCAGCTGTTTCAGGAATTTTTTGCATTCTGAGTGAAATGTAGAGCCTCAAGCTCTGCAGTTTCCATGGCGGTTGTATTCCTTTTGCAGCGTGCAGTCACTAGCCTCATGCAGAACCTTCGTTTTGACTGGAGTTCGACCACTAGGCACTATGTACAAACAACATAATGCTATCCTTAAGGAATCACCGATACGTCCATTCTAAGAGTCGACATACCAACAGAGATCAAGCATTTAAGTTCGACAAAATCAATCATTGAGTAATTCAAAAGTATGTGATATTCTTCCATGAAGTAATAGGATATGTGAGAGGGCTTATGACAGATCTATGGCTTCCAAATAAGGTAAGAAATATCAGCTGATAGGAATTTTGCTGACTAACAACTATCATCACTAGCTATTATGGAAAAAATGTTCTGGCTATCTGATTGGTTGTTACTTATTGTACACTGACTGCCTATTCAAACAACTAACATAAACTGGTCTGGTGCTAATTACCTATTACAGTCTGTCAATTAGACAAGCCCCAAATGAAGTGTTTCCAGAACACAGAACAACTATTTATGAATACCTACATTATGACTCTATTTTACCATTGATAAATCTTAGCGTATGTTTCGTCATTAATCAATGTCAGTTAGCGAATCATTGGAAACCATGACGCACTAGTCATCAGTTTCATCCTAGTTTGAGACAAATAAACGGTACACACATACAACCTCACAAATAATTAAATTGAGTACCCTGTGGTTGCTAAGCGAAGGAACTTACCATTTAATCACTGGGGTGGAATCCAAGGACTCATGAATTTCAAGTTCTGTCCATTTTCCAGTGTACCTCCACCTCCAGTCACTGCCTTGTTTAGGCATCTGGTTCACTCCTAACATGATGGACCTCACCAACCACGACTTCTCGGTAGAGCTTTAGGACACTGCATTCATTGAATTGTCATTTATTTGCAAAACTATGACCAGGATAATTTAAATACATCATTTGTGAAGAGTAATTCAAGAGGTCAAAGGGAACTATTTAGTGCTTACCGCTATTCTTAAAATTCGATAATAATAGGTACTGAAATTTATTCTGTAAAGATTATCATCACCATATAACTAATATGCTGAATTCCAAGGGTGTCACTTTCCCAACTGGAACTACTACTAGTAACCGAAAAGTAGTGGCTGGCTGTTTACTTGTACCGCATAGTAAGGAATTTACGGATTTCAAAGAGATTTCAAGGAGACATTTTGTCACTCCGGTATCTGAGATAGAATTTATACAAAGGGCTGCGAAGATTATGCCAGGGATGTTCAGTTTTATTTCATTAGGAGGTGAAATTTGTATAGTGGTACGAAATCTAAATCTGTGATGATATAACCCATCAGTATCATCTATTCCAGTGTGTACGTAGGCTAATTATCTTCAAATTTGTTGTATTTAGTTTTCATTGTTTGTTTATACTATTCGCTTCTACTCTGAAAGACTTTTAATTGTTATCACTGCATCTTTATCTCTACTATTTTTGGAAAACAACATACAGACGCATGTCAAATGAAAGAATGCAAATATTATGCTATATGTCAGTTGAGTGTATTCGGCGAACCACAGTGTGTCTGTCCAACAGACTGTCTTTATGTAAGTTCGTTATACATATAAATTGTATATATTAATGAATTTTTTGTAGAAACATGACGTTTGTGTGGAGTAGTACGCTTTTCCATTTAAGTTTAACTAATTATGAACCGATCATCACCTGCAAGTCTACCAACAACTATAGTAATGACAGTGAAAACCATTTCGTCCAACAAAAGCAGCACTCTTGGACACAGTTAAGGTAATAAAAGCCAGTCATGAAAGCAGCGGTTTCAGGTGGGATTTCTCATGAAGTACTGAAAACGGATCACAAGACAGCCAAGGATATGCTCACTAGATGCAGATCTCCGTCGCCGAGAACAAGCTGGATTTATGGGAATAAAATCATGTGCGGATCAAATACTAACCGCATCATCCTCGAACAGAGTGTAGAATGAAACTTCCACCTCAATTTCGTTGACTTTGGAAAAGCCTTCAAGAGCGTTGTCTTTGAAGTAATTTGTAAACTAGGTCAACACCAGGAAATGCCGTTAGTCTTTATCAGCCTCATTCAACCACAGCTAAGCCACAATGCCACGTGTCCACAATGGAAAAGTCAGCGAAGCCTCTGAAATGAATACAGGAGTAAGGCAAGGATACTTACTGTCGTCACCGATAATATTCCCACTTGTGTTGGACTGTATTATACGGCTGGCTGCAAGGAGGGGATATGACGTGAAGATAGGAGTACGGTAGACCGATAAGAAGACTGTAGAGGAATCTGGATTTCGCAAGTGTAAATTAACAAGTTATTAGAAGAAGCATAGAAGACAGGAACTTTAAGTGAACATGGAAAAGATGGAGGTGATGAAGATAACCCGCCACCAACAACAATCACTAATCACTATATATGGAAGAGATCACTTCCTTCACCTATCTAGGAAGCATAGTTCACCTACAGGTGGAACTATTGAGGATGTCGAACTAGAAGTGAATAGATGAGACAGACCTTCACCATGGTGAAATCAGTTTAGAACTCTCCTACACTCCACCTCTACATAAACTGTAAAATTCAGATTTTCAAAACCAATGTTGTTACGTTGGCCAGTTTTTCTTTATATGAGTGAAACTTGACGCAGCACAAAAGACATCTCTAACAGGTAACTGCAAACTTCTTTTATCAACATCTGTCTTCAATGAATCTATACCAAAGACCAGATGACCAGCTAGAAAGAATAATCAAAGAGAAACTCCGAGATGGAACCAATCAACAGCCTATTGCTCAATAAATATACAGAAAAAATGGAGATGGATCGGACACACATTGAATGGAATCACATATCAAGACATGTAATGGAGCCTGGATCCGAAGCAATGGGCTAGGCGTCAGAGGCTGACACAGAGGATATAGTGTGAGGCGGTGATGACGGGCTATGGGAAATCGTGGAGTCAGTTGGAGAGGACTACGGAGAACAGAGTGAAGTGAATATGTGCTGTTAAAGCCCTATGCTCTACATAGAACCCAAGGGAAAACCAACAGTAATAACGAACTATGGAAAAAGAGGAAAAAGGCACTGAATATGTGTAAAAATGACTTTTGAAGGTTTCATAGTTACTTTGAAAGGATTAGGAGCAGAAAACAGCACTTGTAATTTAATCCAAAACCCTGAATCAGCTGGTCAGCACAGAACTTATTGATTTCGTTCTCTATTGTAGTTGACTGAATTTCAATTCCTGTAGGATTGGAGATTTTTGTGAACAAGTGGAACGCTGTTTGTAGCACATTATCGTTTGGTTAGTCATTCAGCTGTCATCCGCAACTCTAACATGTGCTTGAAAGCTTCTAGTGTCAGTGAATCAAAAGTTCGGAACATTGAACTGATATCTCTGATGTTTGATATTTACTAAACGCCCCGATTGAATCAAATCGAAACCTCCATACACCCCATAATACTCTCAGACCACTGAAAACATACTGCATTTATTGTATGCCTGTCGATGCGCCACGATCGGATTTTGTCACAATTAGAACAGGTATTGATGATGAGTCAAAAAGGTCCTTAACTTAAATTTGAAACCTTCCTTGGGTCCCGAGTAGTACATAGAGCCTCAGTAGAACATTTACATTTGAATTGTTTCCCTGGTGCCATTTTGAACTGGTGCCAACAGTGCTGTTGAATTTTCATTTCCTCTTCAAACGATGTCACCACACCACACGTGGGATACACTCGACTCTTAGCTTCGCATCTGGGCTCCATTTAGGGACCTAGCACTCAACAGTCTACTCAGTTATTATCCAGTCCATCGCCACTTCCTAATGCATATATATTGGGTAGTATATTGCAGTAAGCTCCTGTCTAATTTGTTTCAAGAATTCTTTGTCACTTATTCTTTCTGAACGTCTGATTTGCTGAATCCAGCAAAGGCAGTTCTTCATAAAAATCTGTAATCTGTTGGAAATGCTTTGAATAACACAGTAAGTCTGTGAACCATATATGTTCACTAGTGTTGAGAATTCAGATCTCATTCATTATGCTGAATGGTGTAGATCTTCAACATGATATCAGAGTAATCAACTCCTGTCTTGTTTTCCCCTATTTTCTTGGCTGCGATACCCTTACTTGTGTAAATAAGATTATGCAAGTAAAGGTGTCAACTTCCTCTACGTTTTCCCATTTATGGTGATAGCACTGATTACTGTTTGTTGAGTAGGTTCATAACCTATTTCTTGAATTTTCACCAATCTGAGATGAAATAGAATTTTTTCATAAGAATCTTCTGAATTTGTTTCCAATGGATGGAATAATTCTCCCTGTACTCAATTGTGAATGAAAACATGATTATCAGTTATTCTGCAGGAGTAGACCTGGCTTAAGTGAATGAGGTAACGTCAGATCCCAGAAAACTTGAAAATCGTCAACCTTTAAAGATAATACGCCACCTTACATGTACATTCAAATCGAGAGTTTACTAATATAGAACTGGATTGTACACTGAATACTATACCTATTTTCAATACTTTCTTAGTGTAGTTTGGTGACCAAATCGCAATATTGATTGATCGAATGCGGCCACGAAGAATACAGACACGTGACACTAGTTACTCTCAAGTGACTATTACAGTACAACAAGAGGTTAATTGTGTGGTTGAGTAACTCAGTGGTAATATCTTGAACAGAAACACTTGGTGATGCAGGTTCGAACATTAGACATGACATCAGTTCTTTCAAGGTTGCGTGCACCACCTACCAAAAGATGCCAATAATCATGAGACCCAGGTGGAAACTTTCTGCCCAAAACCACTTTTATTGCACATATATTTAAGATGTTTAGTTTCTCCAGTGACTGAAGCAGTGCCTTTTGTTTTCACTGTTGGAGAACAATAATATCTCCTCACAAGCGTCACTGATATATTTAGATAGTTAATACCTTATTTTAATTCGTCATATATACAATGGAAACACCAAATAAAAGACTGAGAACCACCTCACATTCATGAAAATTACAGTTTTGTTTTATGTTCTTTGTAAGACACTGACGATTTGAGCAGAAACTGGTATAAAAATGAAAAAGAATTTACTTCCGATAACTTATTTGTGTATTTGTGGTTCATCGGAAGGATGCCCACTAGCTATGCACGTTTTCCCGCCTTTGACTACTAGCTGATGCATACTTCATCCTTGTCCAGGCGGTAGTAACTCCGAAAGAACAGGAAGGTTGAGCATGAGGCTAGTAACCTCACTTTATAAAAATAGCTCAACTGCAACTGAAAGTTAAAAGTGTGAAAAGCTTCAAGCCTTACACTCTACTCAGAATGAAAAAGGAATGAAACTAATCTGACTACAAAGGGGGGGGTGGTAACAACAAATGAAATATAATCATACTTTCACTCTTATAGATAGAGATAAACTTTTTGCTCTAATGTTTCAATTTTCATACTATTTTAATAATTAACTTGATAATGAAAAAATGGTAACTTGTGAATTTTTGCTCATCTCTTTAGATTAGGAAACCTGTCTGTGGAACTGATGGTAAAACTTACGAGAATGAATGTTTCTTAAAAGTTAAATCTTGCGCTGATCAAATTGAAGTTCATGTGGCACAAGAAGGTTATTGTCGTAAGTTTTAATTTTTCGGCAACTTTTTCTTTGTTGTTTTTTTACAAATTAGGCAACGTTTTTTGTTGACTCAACAAAACAATACCCTCAAAATACCCATCCACACGTGGAAACAAGAACAAACAGTCCAGCGAAGAGTCTGTTCATGGAGAATTCACTCGGTTAACTGTACGAGAGCGATTATATATATGTATATATGTAGTTCTTTTTGTATGTGTGTATGTTACGTTTGTCAAGAATAGATGGTTGGCTTTGGTTATTGTTTACGTCATCAAGATATTTCGAAAATGTAATGAATTATCAAAATTAAATCTAAGGGAATGGTGAAGACTAGGTTTACGTAATATGAATAACTTTCAAAAAATTTTGCATGTTAGTAAAACAACATGGAGATAAGTATCAGAATAAACTATATAGAAGGTTAGTTAAAAGAAATGGTATTCCTAGTGTAATATGAGAGGTGTACAAAATAGTTTTAATAACAGAATAATAATAACAGTTGCACTTAGAATTATAATCCAGGTAGGAGGAGGGGATAGGGAAGTTTTTCCTGTGCACTTAGATCAGAGTTTTCTCATCCATTTCGTCAAGGCCTCGGCGATGCAAAATATACGAAAGCTTCCAGTCTTTGGGTCGGGGGGGGGGTCTTTTGACTTTGCATACAGCTTTGAAAGAATTCTCCTTGCTTATTAAGTGACCAATGTTAAATATTTGTTCAATTACTCCACTCCTTACTGATCTACTGTTACCTCTTCGTAGCCGAGCAAGATAACGTTTTTTTGACTCTTTTGGATAAAAAAAAACTCATCGAACGACCTATGTAACTCACTCTAAATGAGCAAGTAAATTGGTAGATGCACACAGAAGTGGTTAGATGGGCTAGTTTATCTTTGAACTTATTGAAGAACAATGGGTTACATGAGAATACCAGTTGCAATGTAGCAGCAGAGAATGTTGTTTTTAGAGCGTTGGATATTCTGCTGTTTATAATGCTGACCAGAAGGTTACCTTTCGTTTATAGCATCCTCTTTAGAATAGAGCTGAGGTGTTCCTTGCTGATTTTAAGCTTTATATGTTATTCTCTAAAGCGTCGAGGTAGCCATTCTCAAATAGTGTCTTCCTCAAAATAGGTATCTCTTCATCTTTTGACTCAGGGCCTCAGTTTTCTTTCCATCACCAGCATATACCAGATATTAATTACCAGACTATTCAGAATGGTCTACTAGGAGAACAGATGATAAACGACGGTGGAATAAATCTTTGGATCACGATGGGTGCGTTAGTTTATCTAGTAGAACATTAGGCTTGTGATTTGGAGATTGCTGAAAGATGAATTTTCCTTTTTACTTCAGTGGTCATTCGTTACATAAATAATGTCACCAATAATTAATGAAAGGCTAATCCACTCTGGTCGTCTGTATTTTCTAAATTTTAAAGTTACGGTGGTAATATTTTAAAATTTTCAGGTACGGCTTAATATCACCCGTTTGGATTTCGGATAATAATTACTGTCATTTCCTTCGGTTCTGAGTGGAATATAGGGTTAACGCAGCACATCTCTGTTCCACTCTGTGCTCCATACTCCTCTTTAGATGGACCCGCGATCGCCTATAGTCTTTCATCTCCTTCTCACATAATCGCCTCCGTGCCACTCAAGGACCTATGCCAAACTTCTCGTTTCCCATCCACCTCCCACTAAAAAGAGATGGCAAGGCGAGCGATTTCATCTTGTCCATCTCCATTTTCTTCATCATATCTCTTGAGAAATGGGTTTTTGATTGGTGTGTTCTCAGAGTTTCTTGATGGTATTCATTTCTGACTGGCCATCTGATTCTCAGTAAAGAGTTGGCGAAAGCAGCTGATGATAGAACTTCTACCACCCTACTGAAAATGATTTTCGTGAATCGCCAAGTTTTTGACCCATATAGAAAAAATGACCTAATATTGGTTATGAGCATCTGAATTTCATTGTTTACGTGGAACAGCAGTTCAGAAGACTTCCAGAGGGATTTCAGAGTGACGAAGGTCTCTCATGCTTTTTCGATCCAGTCTGTTTTTGACATCCTCATCTGTGGGGCGTTCCTGTAGTTGAAACAGTTCTCCCTAGATGAGTGAAGGAAGTTATATTCACGTTTAGACTAAATGACTACTTAGATATAATTTAGTTTCATTATTTTCCAGTTATTATGTTTCGATAAATAAATTACTTTTCATCAGCTAGCTATAGTGACTCATGAATAACTAACGTTAACTCTTGTGAAGTTGACTTTCCCTCAAGTGATTTAACCCAAACAGTTACAATCCTGAATTAAGCCTACTTTTCACGATAGATAAGGCAATTGAATTGCTGCAGTGATGAAGTACACTTCAAATGAAATAGCCCGGTGTTCTTTAAACACTTCTGGAACAATTAGGTATACAATGATTTTCAAGATTGCTTCAGACATATCATACAGAAAAATACAATTGTTAGTGAGTAATTTAGTGTAATCAAAATTTAAAGCCTGATTGATGAACAATGAATATTCTTCTCGATAAATTCGTTATCAGGTTCTACATTTACATGACAGTAATATGGGAAGTAATATTCCTACTCACAACATTAATGCTGTTTTAAATTTTTTCCTTCACGTTGCCCGGTGGAACATAGGGCTCCAAGCTAGTGACTTGAAGTTTCTGTAGCAGTGTTTAATTTTACAGGATGGGGTTGCTAGCCTCATGCCCAACCTTCTCTCTTTACCAGCATTATTCCTGGCTTAGCGAGGTAAAGGAGTGAGTCGGCCGGGAATCGAACCCCGGACTATGTTCATGGGTCACCAGCGTCCTAACCGTTGTGCCACCGACGCTGTTTTAAATTGCATTCAATCAATAGTATCGACGTGTGATTACAGTTCAAAAGCATCAGTAAGAGAGAGGCAGAAATAATGTACATTAATATAACACTCAACTGACTGAATATCAGATAGGTTCAAAAACACGCCAGAATATCAGTGGTGGCTGGTTCCTTTTCCTTTGCGCACAGAGCCTTGAATATTTTAGGCGGATTTTAGTGTCCTCTGTTGTTTGCAGTGTTCGATATCAAGTAGTCTCTCGTAATCGATTCGATGTTTGACAGATGATAGAGGAAGACTCTTCAATGGAAGCTTTGTGGCGTGTTTGGAGGAGGTGATGCTGGAGGTGATGATGGTCTTAACCACACCTTTATTTAACCACACTGGTAGGTATTCCCGAAGATGGACCGTTAGGTTCCTAGAGCGACGGCGTATTTCCGGTGTGCTTTTTACGTGAATTTCTCGGGATTGTAATTATGACTGTGATCAGTAAAGTCAATCATGTCGGGTAAACTGAAAGCTGCCTACTAATAACACTGAGTGGCTATGCTGCATCATGAAGTGATATAAATTATGGAATATAAGCCCTTAATCACTAACTCATTGAAACTGAAGGAAAATGCATTCACCTCTGTTCAAGTCCACATTAGTGTTACAATAAAACAGTTTTAAAAAATCATTCAGTGTATCCTATTCTCTTGCAAGAATTTCTCACATGAAATGTAGTGCTAATAAAACGATATATTTATTCGACATTTTCGAGTGAATACTCGCAAAAGTTACCTACATAAACACACACACCCTTGTGATTGAGGCATTAATTTTGCGTTCGTATGTTAACGATAAAGAACATCAAACGTACGTGTAAAATGCTGGGCAGGTAAGCAAAACTCACTTTAAGATTATGTATACGTCTATACACTGAAGTAGTCAGAACCTGATCATACTTATATTAGGCTCATAGTGATCTGTTTGTCATCTTCAACACAGGAAGAGGAAGAAGTAGTATGTGAAGCCAGTGACCTTGAATATGAACGATTCACAGGAGTTTAGATCTTTAAGTTTGGCTTAATAAAGCCATTTAAATGCGCAAGCAGGTGTTCATTATCAATAAAATTCAAACATTTTCATATTGGTGAGATTTTATATAGGATAGATTTGATTGAGAAATTGATATTAGATACAGCTGCCTTTGGATTAGGAGTTCACAGCCCTTCATCTCAGTCTATTTCTGCATGCTTCTATTAGGTGCAGTACAAAAATATTAAACCAGTCTACTGTTAAACAGGTAAGGCACAGTTGATGACGTAACAGGCTACAACACATTAATTCTTTAAATTCATCTCGATTTTCAAATAACCGAAAATACCCATTGAATCATGAAGAAAATAAAAGACAGATTCAGTGAAGAAAGTTTTCTTTATCGACAAAATCATATTCAGAAGCTGTACAGTCGTATTTATACTTAGACAAATATATAGTGATCTATTATTGAGTAATAAGGGGTGACATAATTGATATAATTACTCGGAAGTGGCCTTAGAAGTGAAAACTAAAAGTTGTAAATAACGTGGTACTCAACGGCACAAAGATAGAAGTTTGATAAGGTTAAAATTGCTCTTGAGTGAGAATAAAGGTATTTGAGCGTTAATTTAACAAGTGTGAAGAGGGTGCGAAAATATACAAAAGGAGCAATTGAGATTGATAACAGTGCATTTTTATTAAAGCAAAAGCAAGCTAAAAGTAAAACTGAAAATTAAAAACAAAAGAAAAAATTAAACTTTTTTACAGGGAATGATTAGTGAAGAGGTTAAGACCAAGGTAGAATAAGAGACTGGACAAACGTTTTCTGTATACACAGTTCAGGGTTTTATTGATGAAATGCCAGCACCTCCGCCATACACAAAAGCCGAAGCCTGACACCCTTTGTACAATTTGGCTTCACTTTGTAGATGATGTTGAAAGACGACTCTGGTGGAGCTACGTGGCCTGAGTTCACCAAATGCTCGAGAATTGAGCTAGTAATTGTCTTACATTGTCCCTTTGCTAACCATGTCGGATAATGTTCAGAGGTGCGTTTGGAAAGCGTGCGCTTTGTGCGGCCAATATAACTTGCTCCACACGAGCAGGTGAATTTATAAACACACAGTGAGATGGCCCAAAGCGGCA